CTTCTAGAAAGAAACACACATTTAGTAGAAACCCTACGTAAAAATCGAAGAGGTATTCCCAAAGAAGTATTGTCCACAAAACTAAAGAAAGGTGAAATCATAGGTAGAGAGAAAAATGGCATAGTTAATTTTAAGTGGGTTTTAAGAGGTCCATATGCCTAACACCAAACATCAAGCAAATCTGGTAGAAGTTCCTGGAAGAGTCGAAGGGAAAACAAAACCTAAAGCCGTGATTGACTATAATAAAGCAAACAGTTTTATTGATGTTTCAGATCAATTATCATCTTATTCAACCTCCGTAAGACGTAGCATCAAGTTGTTTAAAAAGGTGGCATTTGAATTAATTACAGGTGCAAGTGTAGTAAACGCGCATTATTTGTACAAGAAAAACGAATCTAAAAAAGGCAGTATTATTGAATTCTAAGAGAATTTGTGCTTGAAACTGTTGTCTATGGGGAATAAAAATATTGTTCCTGATCGTACACCTGAACAAGTACATAAATTTATCCACGTTGAAAAGAAAAGCCGATGTGTTATATGACCGGAAATATGCCATTTGCAAAACTAAACAAGTTAATACTAAATGCCAAGCTTGCATTGAAAATGTTCTCTGCCTTGACTGTTATTTTGACAAGCACAATGTTTTGCCTAAAACAAACTAGATAATAATGTGTTTTTTTTTTTCCTATTAGGCATTCCAAACAAATGAATTGCCAGTGGGAAGGTTTGGTATATCTACGGGTGGCGACATACGGTGTATTCTATCTACTTTAAGTAAAATCATGAATAATGGATTACACTTAAATATTTTATGTCAAACACAATAAAAATAATATTTAAAAAACCTACCTATACATTTATTCATAAATTGGCAGGCTTGGCGACTACTACTTCGAATAAAAATAGCGTCCAAGTTGCAAGACTATGTCGCTACCCACTTAGATATACAAGAATTTCCCACTGGCACATATTGTTTGACAGGTCATTGGAATGCCTAATTGTTTTATTTTCTTGATTTTGCAACTGCCGTTCTGTTTTTTTTTTGTGTTCAAATGTTGGTTTTGAATATCGGTTTATGATATTTTTTTATATTTAGATAAATAAAGTTTAATGTGTAATCCAACAAATCTTGTTCATTTAATTACAATCAAATAGCACCTAAATAATGAAATTATCATAAAAAAATCAAATTTTTTAAAAAGTCGACTGTAAGAATATTTTGGTATTGCCCCACGCCACACCAAACAATATCCCATAAGAAATGTACGCAAAGCGTGTGGCTCTAGGATACACACGGCACAACATTAGTGAATGTATGTGTATACAAAAATATACACATGGCACCCTTGGACAGGCCACTGTGTATACTCAGATATACACATGGCAGTCAAAGTGTTAAAAACAACTATTAGACTCCATGCGCCATGCGAATTAGCCTCTCCAAAATTCACTCATACAGTCCACTCTATTTTTGTTCGAGATTAAACCAGTTGGAGAAAAATTGTTCATCAAGATCCGCAACTGCCGGTTTTCTTTATTTCTTTTTGGCATATAGGTAACTGTTTTAACATATACATATACTTCAGAACTGTATACCATAATAGAACTCCTACCATATTGGCATTACCGTAAACGACAGGAATATATTTTTAACTGAAAACAATGAAAATGAGAGTTTTAAAATAAAAATAACTAAGTTTAGCCCACCTTCTCACAAACTTTACAATGTTCTTGCAGGCTTTTTAATAATCTGCTATTGATAGTTTTGAATTTACTCTACCCTAAATCTCTCTATTCCTAGAAGAATTCATAGTCTTCCACGACATCATGTATTCTGAATAGGCGTGTACCCAATTTTTAATTGTCTTTTTAAACGAGTCGACACTGGTCCATTGTTAAGTTGCCACTACATACACGACAGTATGGTTTTGCGCCACTCCCATCCATCGTCTTTCTTTTGATTTCATTCATGGAACCCACACGGTGACCTTATTTTGCTTTTATAATAATTTCGTGTTACTTTTACCAACTCACGCCAATAGAATATTTATCAATAATAAATTTGAATAATTATGCATAGTAAACGTATTATTGACATGTGCGCATGTAATGCTTAGGAATTATGAGTTTCGTAAGTTTTTAAATATTGAATTTAGTTCATGCATATACAATTTTTGTTGTGTAAGTGTTTCGGATTAATAAATATATCTTAATTAATTTTAAATGAAAAATATTATAAGTATTACGAGAACCATGCTGCATTTACTTGAATGAACAGATTGTTTCATTAAACTAGATGAAGTATTGGACAGATTGTGGTCCATTGTCTCTTACTGTCTAGTACATTCTAAATTTATTCTTTGAGATTTCCTCTTCCATCTCTCTCTTGGCCTTGGTCTTACTTCGGCCCAAGTTTCGCTATGACGAAGTTATAAAAATGTATTTAGTATCTACAATAAGTAGAAATACCTACTATATATTTTTGTGCAACAGGTAGGTACCCAGAGGAGAAACTACTATGCGCAAGACTGGGGTAGCATTAAAATCTCCACACGTGACGGTGCAGTCGTGTGGTGGGGCAGGTGGTGGGGGTATAAATGACAGATGACAGATGACAGGTGAATATTGATTTTTGTGGGGATTTTATGGTCTCTTGGCTGAAACGGAAGCGATGTTGTTTATATTGGTGACTTGGTTGTATTTAGTTGTGTTTTTATTTTTAATTTAATAATAAAACAAGACTACAAATTTATTCCACCTTTCCACATTTTGAAGAGTAGTTTAAAGTATTTGGCTCTCGTCGAGATCTAATATTTGAAGCATTTCCAATGCTATTCCTACCAGCAGTTCTTGGAAAAGTAGTAGTAGTAGCAGTAGTAGAAGAAGTTAAATACAAAAACAAAAAAGCCAAAAAAAAATTAGTAGTATAATTAGAAGTAAAAGTACTAACAAAAAAAAACAAAACGTAAAGGAAATAGTAGTATTGGTGGTGGTAGTAGTAATAGTATAGTGTTCGTTTTGGGATTTTTTTTTTCAGGGCAAAAAAGTTGTGACCTTCCTGGACTATAAAATAGTTTAGTCATATATGTTGAACTTTTTTTCGAGAAGAAAAGTTAGTACTTATTTTATACTTATACTGTGTATTTTCTGTTTCATGACGTTTGGGGTTGCAAAGCTGTATTGTAGAAGATGCTGGGAGAAAAGTATTCCTCGGACTTATAATTTTTGATTAATACATTTACTTTAATGAGATTATACTTATACTGTCTTTCCTGTTTCACAGATAAAATTATTCGCAAAATAAGAAATATCCTGGAATATGTAGCAGCCATCCAGCTACTTCATACATAATACAGTTTTCATATACATTACATTTTTTAAATATTGGATTTGTATATTGTTTTAATAAATTTATTTTTTGATTATGCTTTTTACTTTCCTATCTGTATACAGATATAAGGAAAGTATAGGAATCATGATTTTTTTTTCGACCTCGAGTTTTTGACGGATTTTTACGTTTTGAGGTCCTCTGAATTTGTTTTGACTATTTTCGCGCGTGCGTGCGTGTGTGTGTGTATGTGTGTGTGTGTGTGTGTGTATGTGTGTGTGTGTTTGTGTGTGTTTGTGTGTGTTTGTGTGTGTTTGTGTGTGTGTGTGTGTGTGTGTGTGTGTGTGGGTGGGTGCATGCGTGCGTGGGTGCGTGCGTGCGTGCGTGCATGCGTGCGTGCGTGCGTGTGTGCAAGGGTGCGTGCGTGTGTGTGTGTATGTCGCATAACTCATGAACCGATACACAGAAAAACACCAAATTTTAAACTTAAGCTTTATTCCAGCGTTTTTATAAACTGATTAGATTTTGGGCAGAGTCGGAACATCTGAGGGGGTACTTTATTGGGGGACATTTTTATATTTTATGTAATATAACTGTTATTTACGTTTGGAGAAGAAAATTCTTCAAATAAAAGTTACTTCTAATATAATTATCTATAATTTTATTTAAATACAAAATTTTCCTAAAATGGTCCGTATTCGAGAAATTTGACAAAAAATGTAAAAAAAAATATTTTTTTATAAAAATTGTTAAAATAAAAGTTGTTTGTAATATAATTCTCTATAATTTTTATTATAAACATAAATTCTCTAAAATGGACCGTATTCGAGATATTTAAGAAAATGTGTAAATTTCGAATTTTAAAGAAAACTCAAAAACGGATGAAGAAAAAAACATTAAATTTTAAACTTAACGTTTATTTTGGCCTGACGTGAAATGATTAGATTTTAGACAAAGTCGGAACATCTGGGGGGGTACTTTATGGGAGGTCGTTTTTATATTTTATGGAATATATCTGTTATTTATGTTTGGAGAAGAAAATTATTCAAATAAAAGTTACTTCTAATATTATTATCTATAATTTTTGCTTTATGTGAAAATTTCCTGAAATGGTCCGTATTCGAGAAATTTGACAAAATGTGCAAAATTCTGATTTTTATGAAAATTGTTGAACTAAAAGTTGTTTGCGATATCGATCTCTATAATTTTTGTTTATACATGATTTTTCTAAAATGGACCGTAATGGAAAAGTGCTAAATTTAAATTTTTCAGTATTTTCGTTTTCAATGAATATCTATAGAAAAATGTTTCGAGGTAGATGTATGTGGACAATGTATATATTTAGTTTATCCTCTAAATATTTATAGAGATGCTGCAATAGGTTGTACAAAATAACCGGAAAAAGCATATAATAACTAGATAGGAAAGTCACGTGTTGGACACATCAGATTTTTAATATTTGACTGCACACCATGGCATTTGTAATAATTTTACACCTTAATATACAAGCCAGATGGTGGCCAGATGATTAAAACTAGTCACTTCACTTCTTGAATATATTAAATTTTACGTGATACATATTTTGCGTTTTTGTTATTATTCTTCAGAAAATTATTAAATCTAATGAAAAACTTTGTACAAAATAATTTTATTGAACCTCTACCCTCTGCCCTCAAGGACATTCGCTAACGGGTATGCACTCTCCTTCATCCTTGTTCAATACATAGCCTCGATAGCATGTACATGTTGGACGGCAAGGTATTTGGCAAACTAAGCACGACCAATCTCTTAGTCTTATAGTAGAACAAGTTGAGTGCCCGCAACATCCAAGGCAAACTCCCATTTGTGCATTTGGACCACAATTGTCTAAAATAAGTAAACGTTAATTCCATATATACATGGTGTATCAAAAATACGTCGGACAGACTTAACGTATCTACATCGACGGCGAAACCTGATAAGTGTGTAACTATTTTATTGAATTTCAGATTTTGGTGCAATTCAATTATTAGGTAGAAAATTGTATATTATTTTTTCTTGCAGTAATTGTTACAAATTTGAAAGTATAAATCTACGTAGCTCCAGACAATTGACATTTTTTAACGGAAAAATATTTTTTTTTAAAATGGAGATGCACACTTTTCGGGTTTTACCCTCGGTATACGAAAGTGCATATAAAATTGTTATGTTCCTCTGGAGGAGATTTGAAGGATGGAGCCATTTTGAATAATTTTTAAATACAGATTTTTGTATCTAGTCACTTTTTCAGTAGCTTGTTTATCTGAAGTTCGAGCACATGTTTAGTGAATGAATGAATTTAAAGAAGTAAGGGCATAAAATTCCATGCACAAAAACTGCGCACCAAACAGTTACTCGTTCATCGTGAAGACTTGCCTCTAGATTTTCTTGTAGTAATTTGAATTAAAAAAAACTTTATGAATGTCTGTTGCCTTGTATTGATACTGATGTATGTGATTTGTCAGAAAACCATATGTTTGACCGAAACTTTTCGTCCTCATATTACGTGGCTAGAACACGGGCACAATATTCTACAGGTAACCGCTTATACGCAATATATAACTTATTAAATGCGCCAATATCTTTAATAATTAGGTGTGTGGTTTCCCTGTATAGGTTCATTTTAACAGCAATCTGTTTTAGGCCGCTCTTTGGAGATTGCACGATTTTGTAAAGGACCTTGCTTTACTTTGGACCAGTACAGTGCCTGTAGGTTGAAACTTCTTTATAGTTGTGTTCTTAACATCTTTTCCATATTACTTTATAGAATCAACTTTGACGCAATTGATATTATGTTGGGTATGGGGTATAAATGCACTGCGATCTAAAAAATCTATTGTGTCCCCTTTTTGTCGCCAATGCATGGAGGAAATAGTCTCAATACCTATAAAGACCCTTCTAATCCTGTCTACTTATGGAAGTACAGGATTTGGAGTGGCTTTAAGTTAGGTAGATCGACTTATTCTATTTGGTATGCTCCTTAGAATAGTGTCCTTTAATTGTATAGTACTACATATTCAGTCAGAATGTGAATAGAGGTTTTATCCTCCTCACAAAATCTGCACTCACTGACTTCTACTACTCTCAGTTTACTTAGGTGTCCTTTGAGTCGTTAATGCCCGGTAAGGATTCCTGTTACAATGCGTAGCCTGTTCTTGCTCAGGCTGATACAGGCTTCTACTTTTTTATGGTTCACCCAGAAGTAGCTTAGCCTGTCTTAACCCCAAAATAGTGTCCCAATTATCGGTTCTTCTACTGCCTGATTCTTTTTTAATCTCTCCTAATATTGTGTTATTGCTGATACCGCAGCACAGCTTAGGTCCCACAAAGGGTGTTTGAGTCCTTTCCCTTGCGAGACTATCTGCAATCTCGTTAGTCTTTGTTATATCCTGGGACCCAAGTAAGTGTATTTTCCTTGCCTAGCTCATTCAGTTTTTCTAGGTATCTTCAGGCCATTTTTGGGCCTGTTTCCTTACTGCTGAGCGCTTTTATGGCTTCTAAGCTATCGGACATGATGAAAATCTCTTTTCTGCGATAGTTTCTCTTGACTTTGAACTGGATACACTTCTCAATGACATGAATTTCCGCCTGGAATATGTTTGGGTATTTACTTAATCTTTTAGAGTGCCTGGTTCTAGGCCCATAATCTACTATTCCAGTTCCTTAAAAGGTTTTAGAACCATCCGTATACCACTGAATGGCACGTCTTTCGATTGCAAGTACGATGGATTCGTGGTTCCATTCTTTCTTGCAGCCAGTTCTGTAGTTTAAAAGTTTTTCCCAAAAGTCTCATTTCGTCCTGGGGTATATCACGAGCATCTTCGATAAGAAAGCTAATAGACTTTGGTCTGATTACTACGTTCCTGATCATGCTATATCTTGTCTTTTTGTCACGTTCTCTATCATTCTAGTCTTCTCTGGACTATATCATACAGGATATTTGTAAACTTGCCTCCAGCAGATATGACTAAGTCGTTGGCATAATAACCTTGACATCAGTCAATCTACACATTCAGTCAGAATGTAAATGGAGGTTTTATTCTCCTCACAGAATTTCTACTCACTGACTTCTACTACTCTCAGTTTACTTAGGTGTCCTTTGAGTCGTTAATGCCCGGTAAGGATCCCTGTTACAATGGATTACAGTTACAGTGGATTCTTGGCTCTATTCTTTCTTGCAGCCAGTTCTGGGGTTTTAAAGTTTATCCCAAAAGTCTAATTTCGTCCTGGGGTATGTCACAAGTATCTTCGGTGCTAATATACTTTCGTCTGATTACTTCGTTCCTAATTATTTTATATCTTGTCCTTTTTGCCACGTTATCTATCATTCTAGTCTTCTCACACAGGATATTTGTAAACTTGCCTCTAGCAGATATGACTAAGTCGTTGACATAACAACCTTGACATGGTATCCCGAGGTCAGTCAATCTTCATGCAAGGTTGTCAATGATTAGACTCCACATTAATGGGGATAGACCTACTCTTTGTTGGCATCCTTTGGTTGTTTAGATAGAGATGGTGTCCTGACCTATAGGTGCCTCTGCAGTTTTCGTAGATAGCAGCTGATCCATCCACCTGGATGTGGTGCTACCTCTGTATGCTAGTGTTTTTTTGACATATTCATGTGGCGTGTTGGTAAACGCTCCTTCTATAATATACATGGAATCACTGGGACTTTATTCAATAAATGGCCTACCTAAACTCCACCGTATATACGTATATATACACCGTTATTTGTAAAGATTAATTCAACTATCATTCGTTGGATAGGGCAACGTAACGTCTATATACATTTGACATATGTTTTGAAGCTGTTTATGTTAATGTGACTCCTCTTACTAGAGCGAACGTATTTACTGAGGCTCCAAGCAGTGTTGCGACTTTTTAATAACTTATTTAGCAAAAGGAAGAAAAACTCAAATAGTCAGACCATTTGTTTTAAGTTAAAATAATAATAAGCCGTTGCAGAAAATCAATTGAAATAGTTGTATTCTTTTTAAATCTTCTCAAGCTTTGTGTGTACCTATATATTATGTCTTTTTTGCTCAAAACTAGTTTAAAATTGAAAGTTTCATTTTTATAAACGTAATATTGGTGTTTACAAAAAAGACAAAAATTAAATAATTTTACAGATACCTCTCTAAAATTTTTCGCCAATATTGTAACTAAATATAAGTTTGGCTAAAAAATGGCCGATATTGTTTTAACAAAACTTGACAAACATTTGGAGGAAGTAAATAATAAAATCACATCAACGAAAAATATAATATCAGTATGCTTTATAGAAAATAAAAATATACGTGATAAATTTGATGAGCAAGAACAAAACTGTAGATTGAAACATTTACGTCTAATGTGTTACCAGAAGGTACTAAAAATAATTTATAAAATAATATATTTGATGGTTGCATTTTAGGTTTCAGACAATGCAGAATTTTTTATGAAGAATAACTTTTTTTCGTTAATTTAATAATTAAAAAGTTTTCCATATGCGGCGAACTTAAGTAATCAAAACTAGCTAAATAAATTATTGAAATTTGTTAATAGTTTTTTACTATATAATGTAAATTTTTAAAAGAAATTTAAAAAAATGCTTAAAGCTTACTCATGCGTAAACATTCTCATCATTATATATCCATACGGTTCGACTGGGTCCACTTTGTTAATTTTTAGGTTCACTAAGACTTTTAGCGTCCATATATAATTAACAGCTGAGTCTCAGTAAACCTGAAAATTAACACGGCTGGAGGCCCAGTCGCACTTTATAGATATAGCAAAATATATAGTTTATGTATTAGGGACGTATATTGTACCTTAATATATAAAGAACCACAGTTTAATTAAAAAATATTCATTTACAAAAAATGCAAGAACAATTAAAAACAAGCACGTCTATCATATCTCCTCTAAAAACAAGCCATAAAAAGAAAACTAAAAATTCAAACTCCCAGGTAGCAAATATTTAGCACCTTTATGCGTATTTATTTTACGCACTTTTATATTGTCCCATTTCCAATCTTTAAAAATGAATAATTTTTAGGTTAACTGAGACTCTGCTGTAGAGTCCATATACAGTGTGGAAACCACTTATGGAATAAAATTCTTTATGTCATTATTTTAGAAAATTATAAAAAATGCCGAGACACGTCAACTTTTGAATTGAGTTGTTCGTTATGTAAACATAAATTTAAATGTACAGGGTGATTCACGCAAGTATGCCATAGTCGGTGTTGTTTTTTTTAATGAAACACCCTGTATATTTGCATATTTTTGAAATCCTCTTAATGAACCGATTCCAACAAACTGAATAATGTATGTATGCAAATATACAGGGTGTTTCATTAAAAAAAAACAACACCGACTATGGCATACTTGCGTGAATCACCCTGTACATTTAAATTTATGTTTACATAACGCACAACTCAATTCAAAAGTTGACATGTCTCGGCATTTTTTATAATTTTCTAAAATAATGACATAAAGAATTTTATTCCATAAGTGGTTTCCACACTGTATAATTGATATCGGAGTCTCACTGAACCTGAAAATTAACAAGACTGAAGGCACACTCGCACTCTATATATATATAGTGTAAATAAGGAACGTATATAGGGGTCTATTCTGTAACAATTCCTTTATATTTAACGGCCTTTAAAAATATTGGCGGCCTTTAAAAATAGTTTCGTATTCGTTAATTTACTTCTATCATTATTTAAACAGATTTCTTTAAGATAGTCCTCTAATATATTTTTTCTACACCCGTATTATAATAATGCACTTATATGCCCATAATCCGTTTCATAATGATACCCATTATGATACAGATTTTTCATTACGATACAGATTTTTAATCAATAGAAACCTACAATTTTTCAATCAAGCATGCTGTTTGACGTTTGTCCTAGGTTCCTATGTAATTATTTTAGTTGTCAAAACGTATTAAATTTTCGTAGGTAGCTAAACTTCGATAATTATAATATTAAAATGTCTGATATTAGCGATATAGAAGACTCCTCCACACATATCGGAGAAAGCAGAAAATACAGTACAAAATATTTTACCGCAAAAATCTAGGGAAATACCAATACCTGAAGTAATACCATTAATTACAATTTTGTAGAATTTTTTATAGAAATACGAGTAATTACTGTTATTGTGTTCAATACCAATATAAATATAATATTTATAGGTCTTGATTATTTATCGGGTGTAGAAAAAATAGCGTATGCAACTCTCATGTAATGGTTATTAAAACACTCGCATAAACCATACGAAACTCGCCTTTGGCTCGTTTCGTATCCCGGTTAATGCTCGTGTATTAATAACCATCATTACATGATCGTTGCATAATATACTATTAAAGATCCGTTTAAATAATGACAGAAGTAAAGGAGAAAATATTTTTAAAGGCCGTTAAATATAAAGGAATTGTTACAGAATAGACTCCATTGTACCTTAATATATAAAGGATGACAGTTTCATTAAAAAATATTTAATTATAAAAAATGCATGGAAATTAAAAACAAACTCGTAAATGTAGATTTTTTTAATAAGTCTATCATATTTGCACTAAAAAAACAAACTATAAAAAGATTCAAACTCCTATGTAGCAAATAGTCAACACTTCTTTGCGTACCTATTACAAACTTGTATACTGTCCCATTTAGTATCTTTAAAACTGAATAATTTTTTTCATATTTTCATTTGAAATTTTAGGAAAATTAAAATAAAAAGTTTACTTATTTTATTTTACGTCTTGGTCACATTTGAGTTATAATTATTTTCTTTTTATTTAGTTACTTCTATAATAATGCCTAAATATACGTACTAATCAAGGTGCTAACCTTATTATTTAAATAACATCAACAAAAAAAAATTATTTAACATTTTCTAAATCAAAAATGTTTGTACGGCGCCCTGTAATATTTGTCGCGTTCTAGATCGAAATTGATACATTATAATTTTTTTTAGAATTTTTAGAAAAAAAGGCCTTTTTTATTTTCTGTGGTATCTGCCCAATAATCCTTTTATCTTGTATATTTTTTCACCGCACTAAACCTTCTTCTCTTGTTTAGTTTCCCTGGGCTGAGATGCATCATCATGACGGCTGTAACTGCCTCCGTGGCGACGCTAATATTTTCCTAGTAAGCACTGGGAATGTTAGCCGAGTCCACAAATGTGTGGTTGTGATCTCCTGTTGTTTTGATTTCGTCGTTAGTTCGATTCTCTGTCTATGGTTTGCCTTTAGGCCTTTTTTTATTTTCTGTGGTATCTGCCCAATAATCCTATATACGACCGTTTCTTTGTTTGTCAGTGCATCCTGGATTTCAAAGTCAGCTACTCGAGGGAAGTTTTTGTAGATCTTTCTACTCTATACGCTTGCTGGCTGTGGTGGAGTGGCATCATCTTCAGGATTTCTGTTCTGGTGTATTTATCAACAGCGTTCTTCATTGTTTTTAATACAAAGGATATGAGGCTGATTGGTCGGATGGATTTAGGATATGTGCTATCCTTATTCTCTATTTTTGGAATTAAGGTTACTCTGGCCCTTTTGCATGATTCTGGTATGTATCTCAGTTCCAGAATATTCTGGGATATCCGGATTATATGTGGTAGTAATTTCTCTTGAATCCGCTGAAGTAGGGCAGGAAATATTCCATCCACACTTTGAGACTTAAATGGTTCAAAAGTGTTCGCGGCACACTTTAACCGGTTGGTGCTGCAAATGTGTTTGGCCACTGCAACGGCCTCTCTCGACGGCCTGCTTACCTTACTTGTGTCCCTTTTTAAAAAAGGGGTGCTCTCAGGAAAATTTTGAGTAAAAGGCGAGCTCTTTTATCCTCATTCTCCATGAAGCTCCAATTTGGTTTCGTTAAAGCTATAGCTTTATTCACTCTCCTTTTTGCCAGAGCCCTGTGCAGTCTTGCTGCCGCAAAATTTTCTAAAGGTGTTACGTTTAGCTTTCCTGATTTCTATGTATGTTTTTGGTGATCAGTGCTTTGGACCAGTACACTGCATGTAGGTCGAAACTTCTTTACGGTTATGTTTTTAACATCTTTTCTATATTACTATAAAAAATCAACTTTATCGTAATTGATACTTGGCCCGTTGTTTTTGCCTATTCCGTATGAGCGATTTTTTGCTCGATAGTAATCATCTTTTTACGAACTTATTACTAAGCTTTAGAGGTGAAACTGTCATGTAGGAGTTAGCATGATATTTGTGCAGCTTTTTTTTATGGCAAATACTATTTTACATTTAATTTTGGTATCTAATATTGTATTTAGATACTCATAAAATTTTCTTTTCTCGTAGGTAACATCAAATTAAAGGACCTGTTTGAAGGGTACCATTAGGCTGGATTCTTTATAGTGGAGAAATTTTTAGAAACAGAAAGTTTATCTTTGACCAGACCTATATTTTTACAAATATATATCTGTGAAAGTTGTCGTAGGTAAAGTATAGTTCGTAGTGCGTATTGTTAAGTCTTTACGAACCCATAAGAATTTTTCATTCGTGCATAATATGATTTTAACAACATTTATTACGTAATATACTATAATTGAAGATAATTAAACTTTAGTAAATATATGGTATTGGTAATATACCACTTACCATCAGAAGACAATACTTGATTCACAAGTATCAAAAAGAATATATTACAAAAAATAATTATTAACTTCATGATTAACAACAGTAATCTTTATGTAGGTATGTACTATTTTGATAACATATTTATATACTAGTTATTATTGTAGAGATTTTATGCATATTTATGTATAAAATTTAATTAATTATATACCTAAATACAGTGTTGGTTTAATAATGACCTCAAAAAATTGTCTTATTATTCTTCTACAATTTCTATTTTTGTTGCAGGAACATATCATATTTTTGTTAATTATGCTATAAATATTAAAGTTTAGATTTTTTAAATTTAGTAATTTAAGTAAGATAAGTTTTAAAATATTAAAATTTATTCAGAGACCTTTGTGAAATTTTAATGTTTTCAAGTAATAAATATTTATAATTTTTAATAGGTAGATATTGTAAAAAATGTATTTAAAACAAAATAGAAATACTCAAAGCCTCAGGAAAACAACTTCTCCTTCAGCTAATAACGCAACAGACATTGAATTAAATCCAAATGAAAACAGCAGAGATAGAAAATAATGTTCATCCCTCTACCTTTGATTTTGCTTACTAAGTAGAACGTCCGTATTGTGTAGTAATTGGCATTATTATTTGAAAATATAAGGAACTTAACAAAAATTCAAAAAAAGTATTTTTTAATGTTTTAACTTAATATTCAAAATAAAACACACGCATTGCAATAAAACAAACAAATAGATTATTACTCCAGTCAATGGCTTATTACATTGAACTAGAGAATTATTCAAGGTAGTATGTTGACATTCTAAAAAGTTAAACTGTCACGTAAATTTTGGTTTTAAATAGAGAGACTACTTTTGAAAGAAAGACTCGAGTAAAAACTGCGGTCCAAAGACAATAAAAAAGACGTTAAAATTCATCTAAAACATTATGTAACATTTCTGGGGTGATTTGTTTATTTTCATGTCTTATTCTGGTTTTAAAAACATCTATGTTGGTTGGTCTGTTAAACTATACCTTTGATTTTAGATAACTGAATAAAAAAAACAGTGGGGTCATGTTTGAAGAGCGAGCAGGCCATTTACTTTCACGGCGTCGGCAAATATATCTACTTGGAAAAATCTGATTAATAGGCTCTTACTGCTACTGCATAATGTGGTGTAGCTCCAACTTGTTGATACCATACTATTTATTTTGTTCGGGTCAACATCATCGGGACAATGTCGTTTTAACTCTGGTACTAAACATTTTTATAAGAAATCTAAATAACGCTCCTCAATCAATGTGTCATCAAAGAAATATGGCCCGATAATTCGATCATTTAATAATTAAGGCTGAACGTTGAATTTAATAGGACATTGAGTGTGGCCTTCCACCATCTAATATGGTTTCCAAGAGCGACAAGTTTTCTTGTTGACGGTTCCATTTTTTGAAAATACCAGATTTTCTTTCCATCTATTTATCACGATTTTGCAAAATTCCAATCGACGGTCATTTGGTTCCTGCATCAATTGAATTAATTTTATATGGGAGATATTTTTCTTTTTTCAAAACACGCAAAAAAGACGTTTTACTTAAGTAATCGTACCAGTGTTGTTCATACAGAGTTCATAGCAGCAAAAGAAATCATCAGAAACTATATCACTGGAAGAAACATGCTTATCTATACAGATAGCAGACAAGCATTTCTCACCTTGAACAGACCACGAATTTACTCAGGGTTAGTACTAGAATGTCACGAAGTTTTAACCTTAAGTTGAATAAAAGGTCACGCTATATCGAAAGGTAACCGTCTTGCTGATTCACTGGCCAAGAAAGCAACCAACCATATACTTTTTGAGCCTCGCCCTACCATTGGCCTGACAAAATTGGCAGTGTCAGACCTAATTAAAGAACGGTCTCTTGTGAAATTCAAGGAAAGATGGGAACAAGAAACTGCACAGTTTCCTGGGAGCTCTTAAGTTAATCTGACAACACTACAGCAAACAAATACTTGACTAGGACTAAACAGAATCTGCACTTGGTCACAGGCATTCTGAGTGGTTATTGCCAAGTATAGAAGCATCTTTATATCATGGGGTTGTCGGAATCCGCATTCTGTAGAAGGTGCAAACAAGAAGATGAGACCATCGAGAATATTCTCTACGATTTGTGAGTATCGGCTAACACCGGCCAATATAAGAGAAGCACCTCTTGACAACGTTGTCAACTACATTAAATATGTAGGCTGGCTCACGAGCTAGGAAGTATCTATCTCTTTAGGAGGATGCACAATAGTCCTAGTAAGGCCTAAGTATCTTGAAGTAACCCACCCTCCACACGTTACAGATACTACTACGAACTTGAGTGGTACGTTTATGTGGATTATCATCAATATTTAATAATATGTCCAATTTAATCACATCGTTCAATTTTGTTCTATCATTTTTATGAAAATCTTTAACTGTTCCATATTGGCGGAATTTTTTTCTTCTCTACTATCTGTATACTGAGAAATATGACGGTCAGGATATTTATTGTTAAAGTATCTACATACTTCATCATATGTGTTCTTGTTTTATCACAAACTCTAGACATCATTTATTTGTGTTAAAAATATTAAAATGAATATAATACATTGGTAAGAAAATGATAAATAAAGTTATTCAAATCAACATATCACATTCAAAAAACTGTTCCTTCTTACTTACACCGTAAAAATCTAATATACTTTTTTGTTTGACTATGGGTGTAGATGGCTTGTTTTCTACGGGGAGGAGGTTACTTGGCACTGTACTATACATTGTTATGCAAATCTTAGTATACTCTGATTTATGTTGTATTGAAAATATTAAAATTCCCCATCATTTCGTTGAAAAAATGAGAGGGGTAAGTTTTACCCCACCGAGAGGAGTATCCTGAAGTTATAAGATATAAGTGGGATAAGAGCTTTATTAACTTACGCATGCGAAATTTGCACAATGAGTGCGCAGAAGTAACTTAAGCTTTGTGCTACTACTAAGGGGGTACACTGTGTACCCCACAAGCACAAAACTGCATGTAATTAAAAGAATTTTTTAAATGTATTGTGCTATTATCATAGCCATTAAATAACTTTTTCTACGCCCATGTCAGTAAACGATAAAAATCGCATTGTCAACATATCTTGTAAATGACGTTTAACAATAACATGAACGTAATGAGATCTTATAACATACATGTGAGTTTTGATAAGAAAACTTAAATTTCTTAGTTTAAACAAATTGCAATCAAATTTTTATCTACGTACGATTTTTGGTCTATTTACATAAATTTATTCAATTGAAAAAAAAACTTTTAGCATTGGCGAGATACATTTTGGATTAAAAAAGTGATGCCCCTAAATGTCGGCAACACATTATATAGTTTTTCCAAAAATAAGTCGCGTTTTCTTAGGATACTACGGAAATAAATGTCTTTTCATTTATATTGTCAATCTTTGTAACAAAATATTATTGTATTCGAACATTTTCTCAACTTTACCTACGAATATGTCTGTTAGTAGTAAAAGTGATGAAATTATGAGCACTCCACTGAAGATTTTAGAAAAAGTTCAAGCTGCCACACATAATTTGTTACCGCTAAAATCCAAAGCAAGGTACGAAAATTTTATGGATTGGCGACACAAGCATATGTCCTTCATTTATAGTCTATTTTTATGTATGAGAGAGTAATAAAACAGCATTTCTAATGCAAAACTTAGTACGGTAATTTTAAATATTTTTACAGAATAATCTAAATATTTCCTAAAATTGTAATAAATGTACCTGAGCTATTACAAGTTTTGGGTCTTTTATTGATCCTTTATAAACATAAGCTGTACAGAACAATAGAAAAAGGTTTGGACAGGCCAACAGCCCTGTGTATTAAAGATTACATAGCCATATCTTAAGATTATCTTCAATAAGTACCTATTTGCCAATTTTGTTTTATTTTAATTCCAAGAATTTCTTACAGTAATCGAATTATAAGTAGATAAATACCTTTCCAACAAATTTCACCGAAAATGCGATTATAGGTTTTCCATTTAGTAAGAAGGTCCAAGTCGTGTATCCTTGACAGTTTACTAAATATCGTTTAGTTGCAACTTGCAAGGTGCGGTGTGAATTCTAGTGTAATCATGGAAAATTTGAAAGGGCCGCGTAAACGACAAAAAATCGGTCCTTTAACAGTTAATGAAAAAACATTAATATTTATTTGTTTTACATCATTTACAGACAAACATTTATGTAAAAGTGTTGATGACACAGTAGAATTAGTAATACGCTTGGTGTTGGGAAATCTACGATTTACAGAGTTGTTAAAGAAGAGAAATGTGGCGAGTTTCAAACAGTACGTAAAGCTCCAGGAAAACCAAAATTTCAATTAGAAAATCTTTTGAAAGAAAGACTTCGAAGGAAAGTGCATGCGTTCTTCTTTAGAAAAGAATTTCCGACAGTAGACAAAGTTCTTGCCACGGTTCGAGATGATAAGGATTACCCTGAAATGAGTCGAAGCACACTATGGAAACTTTTAAAAGAAATAGGTTTTCTATGGAAAAAGCATTCCAGAAAGTCTATTTTAATAGAAAGAAGCGATATTGTAGTATGGAGAAGAAATTACCTAAGGACTATAAAAGAAATGAGAAACCAAAGAAGAAATATATTTTATTTAGATGAAACATGGATCAACTAAGGACATAAACCAAATAAATTTTGGCAAGATGAAACTGTTACAAGTCGAAAACAGGCTTTTTTAAATAATTTATCTACTGGTTTAAATCCACCATCAGGAAAGGGGCGCAGACTAATAATAGTACACATCGGTAGTTAAAACGGTTTTGTTAAAGGTGGTTTATTGACTTTTGAATCTACTCGTACCGGTGACATGAATGCTGATGTCTTTAAAGAGTGGTTCGAACAAATTATAGATCTTCTTCCTCAGAACTGTATAATAGTAATGGATAATGCAAGTTATCACTCGAGACATAGAAAAAATGCCCACAACCAAGTGGTTAAAAAAAGATATACAGAATTGGCTAAATTCAAAGAATATTAAGTTCCATCCCGGTTCTGT